TTTCTCGTTTCTAAATCTTTTACATACGATCGATGGTCTAGGAGATTATCGATTAAATCGGTTTATCGAAATGACGGCAAATGTCCTATCATGACACCAATTTGAACTATCATTCAGAGGCAATAAGCTAACGACACCACCAAAAAAAAGGTACTATATCACCCTAAGTTGTAGGATTTCATCATCCAAAATCTCCCTATTATTCCAAATCAGCACCCAAACTACCTTTGTGTAACCTTGTTCGATTGTTTTGGAACAACAAGAAATGAGCTCAATGCGAGAAGTCGTACTTAGTACTAAGGGGTCAAGTATAGACCCCATGAGAAACAATCAGAGCTGCTTATCTCGAAATCCATTAAACAGTCTCGGATCATACTATTAACATAAAAATATTATTTACTATGAACTCAAGGTCAATTATCAGAAGCACGCGTTTCCATAAAGACGTAAAACAACAAAATCATCAATAAAATATCGAATGATCATGCATAAAGCTAAGATATATGGACGGTTTCTTGCTTGTTTATGGCAAGTGTTTTATGTTCATTCAACAATGCACTTGTTCTAGAAATATCTCTTCATTCTACAATTTGGAGCCTCAATGATATGTAAATGCATTAACTATGTTATTTTAGGTGGAGAGATATTTACAGAGTGAACAACATGTCTAGAAGACACTGCAGTATGTTCGATTAGTTCCAAACAGTAGGAAAATATCGCGTATCGCAAAATTTTCATTCTAAGTTTTAAAGAGGAAATCTGTGATGTGTGAAATATGGCTATTGACTATAAGGTGCGCAGAATTCCTGCAGGCACTCTTGCAGTAGCCGCCCAAGGGGTCTTGAGTATGCGTCAGCAAGTCATGTCTGTCTGTCTCAATGTCTGTTGTAGATGGTGATGGAGTGCTTCTAATGAAATATTGCCAGATAATGGTGGAAGTAGATGAATCTCACCTTCAGGCAGCAGCGGTGGCGTAGTGGCAGACGTCATGGGTCTACTAAGAAATTGTCGTGCGCTGCGCGCGTACGAATCCCGTCCCACAGAATTTTTCTCTTGGATATGGATGTAGTGATTGCCCGCAGGTGGTAGACTGTCCCTGAGTGTCAAACGTGGAGGTACCACTCAGCGGATCTTTAGGGCGGGGCCATAATGTTGCATGCACACGTGTTCCCTCGCTAGAGTCCGTGTGGAGTCCCCCTCTTTCCCTGTATATCTCTATAGCTTCCTGATGGTTCAAGTATGAGAAATATTAGACCAGGATATCTAGAATTTGAGAGACAAAATTATAATAAGCTGCTTTACACCGCAATCACGAGTATATTCTTGAATGTTTACGAGAAGGTCCTTCGCCGAGAGATGCATAAAATTTTCCTAGTTAACTTTTTTGATAAATGACAACGTAGGAAGAACTACTTGTTCGCGCATATTTAAGTAGCCAGAAGCTATTGGTGTAACTGAAAAAATAAAGGAACGGTATTATGTGTGACGTATATTGCGATATAAACAGACTAAAATGCGCAATAGCTGTGTTTGTTGAGTCGCCTGAACTCTCCTTACTGATATTTGTCGGACATGATTAGACATAAGTTCAAAACAGCAGTCGTCCTTAACAATAAATTTAGCAAAATATACGAAAACATAGTTTCAAAGTATTTTTTATTACTTCTTTCTAAATAGTAATGAAACTACTGAAAGAAATTTATGTAAATATAAAAAATAACCATCTACTAAAACAATTCCTTATTTAGAATTGGATATTTTCTGTTGAAAAATAATGTAATTATAATGAATTATTGGTAAGATTCGTGAGAGGTACCTTAGAGACGAATTAATGCTCCAATATTTTGAAGCGACAAATAAATTCCTGTTAGTTCCATTCACGAAATGGTCTTAAAGCTGCTGGATTTTTACATGCTTCTTGACGGACCACAGTCAAGTTATCGTTGGTGGTCAGAGCGTTCCGTCTGACCCGTTCTGTTAGCATAGTGTCAGGTTATAGGTCTGTCAAATCTGGATGCTCAGAAACCAGACAATGTTAAAGATACAATGGAAGAGAAGGAAAGAAGGAAGGCATAGAGCAAAGACGAGGAACAGAATCTTTCAGGAGTGGAAGCGTTTAGGCATCAATCGCTGGACAAGTTTTGATTTGGTCCAAAATGTGACTTTTGTCAAAGTGTTCTCATTTTCATTGTCTCAAATTCAGGAATTAACTTTGATTACAGTGCGAATCCATTTGTACTTGCAAACTTGCTTGACGCAACAGTGGGTTTTTGTGTGATTCCGCTTGTATATAGCGCCGCTGTGCATTTTGCTCAATGTAATATCTTAGGTAAAGGATAATCGAGAACTCTGTGAAAGGATGGACTACAGTATTTTGTCTTCCAACCTCTTCCTCGCCAATAAAAATTCCAGGAAGTTTTTTTTTTCTTGTTCTGTTATTGGCACTGGTCGATGATCAACTGGCCAGATCCTTATGTTCAGTATAATGCTATGCTTTAATAGAAAATAGAACATCCATTACTTAATATTACTATTGTATGTTATTTCTATTATACTTACATAGAGTATGCAAACACATTTCTCTTTTTTTTTGTTTTTTTTTTGTTTTTTTTTAATTAATACTTTTTACTTATTTTTTCCTTTTCTCTATTTTGTTTATAATATTATTTTTTTGTTTTTTTTTTGCTGATCTGCTTTTTTTGTTTTTTTTTTCAATATTTTCTTCTTTTTTTCATTTTTTCAAACAAACTTACTGTAATTTACATTTTATAATGTTAGGCCTACTTTCCGACAATGCTTGTATAAAAGTTCGTAAACTTGCTGGTTCTCAGAACTGAGAATTGATTCTAAATTTAGAGGCAAAGGAAGGTGGTTCGCTAAGATTTTATACAATTCATAATTTTCGTTGTTAGAACTTGTACATTCTAATATTAAATGTTGCAATATTCCTATATTTCCACAACTCTCCGTATACAATTCTTGATTTATGATAGGGCGTTATTACATGACCACTTCTTATTCTGCTCACGGTTCTAATGTAAGGCCGATTGGTAATTCCTTGAAACCAAGGTCTGCTTCGAAGAGTCTCTTGTATACGTTTCAGGTAACTTCCTGTTGGACTAATTTCGTAATGGTTATTCCATTTATTCTTTAGTCATTGTCTGATCAGAAAATGAGCGTCAGTAAAAGGAATCTCCATGCCCGGAACGTAATCGCCTCTAGTTGTAGCTCTTTTTGCAAAATTATCTACCATCTCGTTTTCTTTTATACCTGAGTGGCCTTTGATCCAGACTATGTTTATAGTTTTGTCGATTTTATTCAGCTCCTGAATGCGCTTGATGATGTTCGCAATTAGATGATTAAGATCTGCAATGGGGTGACAATTCTCCAATTTTGTTACAGCACTTCTACAGTCGGTAAAAATAACAAAATTCTTATTTCCATGGAATTGGAAACAGTATTCAATAGCTTGGTTGATCGCAACCAGTTCTGCTGTGTATACCGAACATTCAGTTGGCAACTTGAATTCTTGGTGATACGAATTGTTGCTGTGATAAAATGAACATCCCGCTAAATTGTGTTTCTTCGAACCATCCGTGAAGATATGTTCCCATCCACTCCATCGTGTTCGAATATCATGCCGGAATTTGTAAGGTGTTCATAAATCTAGTTCGGAATATTTCGTAAAGTTAACTTCGGGTGGAGAGTTATATGCCGAATATTCAGGTATAAAACATGGGTTGATTTGATTACAGTTTACCTTCTTGACGGTAGGAAGAAGCCACTCATAACTCTTTATGATCAGAGGAAGCCTTTTGTGTTGCCAGTATTTCGCTGTTAATCCATGAATAAACAATTGGTGGATCTCGTTAATGAATCCCCTGCTGACCAGTTTAACCAGGGCTTTATCGCTCAACATTTGTCGTCTCAATTGAAGAGGAGGTTCGATACATTCGACCTCCATGACATTGATGGGAGTGCTATTCAAATATCCGATACATAGCCTAAGGCACTTATTTTTGATCTGTTCTATTTTGTATATTTTATAAGTATTGATCCGTAGTCCAAGATTGATCGAACTAAGGTCCTGTAAAAGGTTAAACACACTGCTGGATCTGCTCCCCATTTCCGATGTGAAAAGGACTTCAGAATGTTAAAAGCATTCTGACTTCTCTTTAAAATGTATGTAATATGTTCTTTCCAGTTAAGTTTTTTATCTAAGGTAACTCCTAAATATTTGACAGAAGTTTTATAAGATATATTCTGCCCAGACAGAGTGATGACATTTGAAGGATTAAGGCGAGATCTGGTAAACGTACATACACAAGATTTTGAGTAGGCAATGGAAGATCTATTATTCTCAAACCATTCGTGTGCAATGGAAGTCGCTGTTTCTAGAAGTTCCATAGATTGAGATAAATTTTTGTTCTGGATACTGATGGCATAGTCATCTGCAAACTGATGTATTTTAGCATCTCTTGAATTAAAAGCTCTTTCAAAGTCATAGGAATATATTATATACAAGATGGGACTCAATATACTCCCTTGTACTAGTCCTTTAGATGTTGATCGTGGTCCAATAGTCTGCTCCATCCATAATTTGCTTCCAAAAGATTTTTAAACCAACCGCAACCAAAATCTTACTTAAGCTGTTGTTAGGTCTGATTGCACCTTTACAACGTTATGCCAAGGCTCAAGTTGAGCCGATATTGTACAACTCACAGTACCTTGAAGAACAAGGTACAGGTAAGTCTCAGAAACTAGCCCGGATAGATGTGCAAGATGAGCCACTAGGTGGCCCAGCCACTAGTGATCATTGTTGTCGGATTGCCTCGACTCATTTCATTCATTCACTCATCGATATTTTGCACTCCCTGTACTATTGATACGGTACCAATAAAATTTTAACACAGACGATAACCAATATCTATGTTAAGGTCAGTGTCAAAGTTATACGTTTGAATGTATCAGCTGAGGATATTCTTTTATTTTCCAGATAACTTCTGTTTATTTTTTTTTGCGTACACGGAATGGTTTTCTCCATAATAAACATAAAAATTATCAGTAAGATTCGTAATACACATAAACAAAAATCGTATCTATTAGCAAGTATATTAATGTCTACCGTACACCAGACACATCAGTTGTATCCATTACTGCAAAACAGCATACGAAAAGTTTTACTGCAATTTGACCAGTAAGTACCTTCAAAGTGGTTGTTCACTAGCATATTACGAACTCTTAGATTGCATGGCTTGGACAGAACTAACTGAGGAGTTGTCTTCTATTGTTCCAAAACTCACTGTTACATTTTTGCTTGTGTCTGAAGCCCTATTTAGTTTAGGTGGTAGTTGTAGTAACCCCATTTTTGAAAAGTACAAGAATTAGTTTTCCCTATGGTTGATATATCAGTGGTCTACCTTTCTACATAATCACCGGTTGAGGAATTTTTGTAGACGCAATGACAGTTTTTGAATAGTCATGTCATATCAGCAGCCAACCCCTTAAGTAAGAATTGTCTGGACAAAGGTTCTTTTAAGTTGGAAAACATAGGACGCCAAGGGCTAACTATATGGCGAGTGGGCGATAATCTCTCATCCAAACTGTTGCAGAACGATGAACGTGTGAGCGTGCGTTGTTATGGAGAATGCTGACGCCCTTGCTTCGCTTCTGAATTACGCATCTGAAGTATTTCCAGTGCTTCATAGTACCCGTTTCCTAAGTTGGAAAAGCGTATTTGACTACCACATCTTCCATAAAAGTAGATTAACCGAAATGTATCGAATAACTAACCAACGTCTCAGCTTTGATGATGGTCATGATGCATCAATCTTTTATAGTTACCGCACCTCAAGAAAAATAAGGAACCTTACTATCGTATTTTGACATGTGTTAGCTATAAGACTTTTCAAACTAAAACCCGGGCTTATCGAATTTTTAAGATTCCCTGGGTATAGTGAAGACATCCATAATCAGCATAATATTTGACACTTCCTCTGACATATTAATTTCAGAGACCGTACATATTCATTCAAACTGCATCAAACATTCTTGGCAGGTTATACAGGGTAATTCACATGTCACAAGTACAGCATAGAAAATGTAAACCAGCCCTACTTTGACTTAGATATTTAACACTTAAAGCAATCGCAAATGCTTTACAATCCTGATCATTTCTAAATTGAAACGAATTTAATTAAAATTTAAATATATGGGGAAATCAAATATTAAATATTACAGACATGAATCTAACTGAATTTTGAGTGTTGAATCCAATTTATTATAATACTGATTTGCTAACCTTGAAGATCTAGACAGGAAGGAATTACTAGCATAATTAGTACGAAATGATCTCACATGGAATGGTTGATTCAGTCTTGTTTGACGAGAAGGCACATGGAGAATAATATTTTTCAAAAGTTCTGGAGCAAAACTAAGAGAGTGCAAAATATTATAAAATAGTAACAGGTCCCTCTGATTCCGTCTTACCTGAAGGGTTGAGATATTGAGAGAGCTTTCAATTACGGAATAGATAATATCTTCAACCATCATGTTTTGTTTGAATGAAATGAATCTTAAGAATTTATGATGCACTCTCTCAATTTCCTGAATATGAACATTATAGTTGGGTGGCCATACACAAGAACATACTCCAAATGGGGCCTCACCAAAGAACAAAACAACGTTTTGAATGACTGAATATTATGAAAATCCTTAGCACATCGTTTTATAAATCCCAACAGTTGAAGAGATTTAGAAACAATCATATTTAGATGGGTAATAAAGGATAATTTTGGGTCTAGAATTACCCCTAAATCCCTAACTTGGGATACACGCTTTAGAGGACAACCTTTCATAGTATAAGTATGATTTATGGGGTCCCTGTTACGGCTGAAGACCATTAAAAGACATGTTTCCACATTAAGTTCCATTCTATTCATTTGACACTAGAGACTTAATGAATTCAATTCATTTTGGATATTTGAACAATCATTATTATATTTCATTTTTAAGAATAATTTCAAATCATCTGCAAACATTTGAAAACTAACAGACTTAAAAGAATATATAATATCATTCACGTATATATTGAAAAGAAGAAGACCCAGATGGGAACCTTGAGGTACTCCAGATGGTACATTAATCTCATTTGATTGAAAGCTTTGTATAAGCACTATTTGTTTTCGGTCAGTGAGGTAAGACTTCAGCCATGATAAAAGATCCCCGCAAATTCCTAGACAATGTAACTTATTAATCAAGATCTCATGGTTGCCCTTATCGAATGCTTTAGAAAAATCTGCATAAACTACGTGAACAGAATAACCTTCCTCCAGGGATTCCAAAACATAGTTTGTGAATGTTAAAAGATTTAACTCTGTGGAGCGTTTTGAAAGAAATCCAAACTGTTGGCTTATGAAGCTACTTTGCAATTTTGCGCATAAACATTCATTTTTACATTCAATCAAATCAATAAAATTTGCATTTTGATTGTGCATTTGCAGTAACCAGTCACAAAAATTCTTCGTACCCGGATTGCAGAGATTGCAAATTTTGGCGATGTTAAGGATGTAAAACTTCCCTATTTAACGGCGGGGAAACCGCCAAAGCATTTCCATTACGAACCCGTAAAAATAATATCGGCGTACTCGTCATTGCTAAATTCCATTTCACAACCATCAACACGGAAAAAAGAAGCTTTTGACTTTACTATTACACAAGAAAAAATGGTAGTAGTAACGATAACAACCGTATAGCACATACCTCTCCCAGTCAAGTTGGTATCAAGTCCTCCTACTTTATTTTGAAACTAATTGTGTCCAGGCTCTTCATGAACTCGTTTTATTTTTATTTTTACGAAAACAGTGCACTCTAGGAAAAAACACAAGAGTAATCGTTTGTGGCGGGGAAAATTCTAGGAATAGTGCGTTTCCAAAAAAAAACAGTGGCGTTCTATTTTTAATTGGAAAAATAATGCCACTAATCCTCTGTATGTTCGCCACTGGTGCACGTTATTTTCAAGTACAGGCTTTTGGAAATTTCAGTTAATTCTAGTTGACGGTTTTGAAGATACTTAAAAAAATTGGTTCTTATTTTTGGGCTCTCGAAGAAAAAATGTTACACAGAAGATCCCCCTTAAAATACGGTCCTGTGTAAGATGTTTCATTTTTGGTCACGACTTGTAAATCACTCTGTATTATCATATCTACTTAATGGCAACTTATTTTTACAGCTGCCATTCAAGATATGAACCAAATACTGATTTACATTTTGGTCGCCGTTTCCGGTGTCCACCTTACGTCAGCAGCTAGCTTTAGGAGGAGTTCAGGTAACTTTAGGAGGAGTTCGGAGATTGATAACTATATTGAAAACTACGACATACCACAGTCAACACAGTGCTGCGTTATACCAACGTGCAATGAGAAGGATAACTGTTTCGAGACAATCAGCTGTGGTTATATCTGCTCAAAGGTTAGTTAGAAACTCAGGGACGGGAAGGATCGCAGTATTTCTGAGACAAAAAGCAAGAAGTAATGCAAAATGTTCTGATAAACATGATTCGGAAACAAATCTGGACGTAATCTTACAAACACTTATTGCTTTGATTTTGACCATTACCTATCCTGGATACGACATAAGATTTGTACCAAAATTTGGCTTTATAAACTAAACATGACGAACCTATTTACTTCTGAAACAATTTATTTTCTCAAAAACATTTCAGATATACTCTAGTCGTAAAAAATACATATTTGAAGTCACTTAGACCTATAGCTAATAGAACATCTGAACAAATAAACAATGTGCGAATAAATGTGCGAAGTTAACAAAGCAACAATTGAAAGATTATCATTGGGTAACTCACCTCTATTTTTTATTACGGCTAAAATTTTTTGGGGCATAGTGCTAATCAAGTTTTGGCAAAAATTTGGTGTAAATCAATCCCATATTTCTTGAAGCTTTTGTCCCAGTTCGGTGATTGTACGAGCAGGATGTTGTCGTAGAACCTTTTTCATCTCGTGCCACAAAGTTTCAATAGGTGACAGATCTGGACTGCTAGAAACCCATTTCAAAAGTGGTACATTATTTTCTTCCATCCAGTTTTTAGCCTTTCTTGAGATATAGCACCGTGCACCATCTTGCTGAAACACAAAATCTTGGCCGGATGTCAAACATTCTTCCATCACTGGTAAAAGCGATTCTTCTAAAATTGCCAAATATTTGTTTGCATCCACATTTCCATCAATAAAATGAAGTTTTCCTACTCCTTTTGATGACATACTGCCCCAGACCATAACGGATGCTGGAAATTTCACTTTTGTCTTTAGATAGTCAACATGGAATGCTTCATTTTTTGCGAATAACTTTACTGCGACTGTCACCGACACAAGCTTCGAATCGGGCCTCATCACTCCACTGTATTGCACACCATTGTTGAGCTGTCCGTTGTCTGTGTTGTTTAGCCCATCTAAGCCGTTTTTTCTTTTGCAGTGGAGTTAATAGTGGCCTTTCTTTGGCCTATAAAAAAGTTGTGCAACTTTGGGGTTTTTACTTCAATTTTTTTTATAAGAAAATTTATTTTGTAAGTGCTAAATCCCAGTTTGTGGGCCTCTCTATGAGTTGTGGACCTCGAAATTCTCCTTCCAACAGCGTCACCCCACAGAGCACTTAATTGTAAATACTCGTAATTGGCACGCCTGTTTTTCACGATTATTCTTCTTAATGCTCTTCGGTGGGCATTTGTGATATTACTTTTCTCACATATCGTGGCTTAATAATAACTGAACCAGTTACGCTATATATTCTAACAATATTTCTCACACTGTACCGCGATAAGTCTATCAAAGTTGCAATTTCTGAGTTTGATTTCTCAGAATTAAAAAATTTAATTGTCAGTAACCGAATGTTCTCACTAATAACCGTTTCTCTACCCATTTTGAAAACCTCAACTACCCAAAACTGTTTTAAACGTATTCTGACAGCTGTGATTAATAAAAACAATTGTCATGGCTTTTATTTTTCACAGCCATCTATGCGTTATCGACTTATTTTGCATTGAAATGAAAATAGGTTGATATGCTGTAATTGCAACATGTGTCATTTTTATGCTGCAAATTTGATTAGGGAGTGATAAAGTTTGTGTTTTCTATATTATCAAAATTTTCATTGTTAATATTTTAAACCTTAACACCTTGCTGCATGTTTATTATTTCTGTGATAAGAAAAAAACTAAGATTTCAATAGTTGGGCCAACTGAAGTGGGAAGTGGCTCGTAGATGGCAAAAGCGCATTTCTGCCTGTAGTACTTGGTATACCCCAAGGTACATGTCCTCCAAGATGAATTGCGAGCCAACCTCGAGCATTCACGTTTCGGTATGAGATCATTTTCAAACTGCCTTTCTTGCAGGGTATCTTCAAGTCTGCACCCCACATGACGACACCAGGCTACAGACTGAAAGAATCTTACTCAAAATATGAATGCCACTTTGGTGAATGCAAGGAGTACAAGTTTCTTTGCAGCTCGTGTCCTGATCCAAGTCATCCCGATTTTAATATGCACGCCGTGAGGAAGGATTGCCTCAACTGTTATTACTAAGGTTGAAAAGATCGGAACTACATTACAAAATACATAATTCTAGCTTTAATTTATTTATTATCTTGTTAAACGGTATTTATTAGTATTTTATGTTGATATTAAAGATTGCAAAGGAGTGAGTCGTGTGTTTTTCTGGAATCCCAAATAATTACCTGTTTCAAAATTGAGAAGGTCATAGATACAAGTTCATATAGTACAGGAGTACAAGTATTTCGAACTTCTTAGAAGAGAAAGAAAGGCAAAAGTAGCCCACTAACTTTATTTCTGAACATCGGTAGGTTTAGACATATGCAGTTCAAATTTTATTTAAAAATTTTGGGTCATAGTAATTTTTTCCTGCATTGTCTAACCTTGAGTCTCGTGTGATCTATCCTTGAATTTTGTTGTCCGTCATCTATTAATGGCTGGTTGCACTGATTTAGTTTCTTTAAGCAAATACTAATGATGTCAGTATTGGGGAATGTATCTTTTTCAGTTTTAAGATACCCTTGATATCCCTCGGTAACCCTTTCTGAGAATAATACGATGATTGAGATTTATATACGACCTCCAGAAACCCTTATGATAAATCGCCTTATATCTGTTTTCTTATTATATTCAAGCTAAATATGTTGGTAAGGAACCATTCTTGTTTAATAATTTGGTCTAGACGCTGATTCAAAGTATGGTAGAACCTCTTAGTGCTTCTAAGCATGTATCGTCGACCTCACAACCAGGATCAAAAGCAACGCTTAATTTCTGTCGAAAAGTGAACTTATCCGATTTTCCGGTTATTTTGCGTATATAGAATTATCTATCAATATTTGTTTAACAAATCTATGAGCGTCAAAACAGTCACGTAAATACATTATATAACCTAATGAGAAGTGCGTATTATATCTTGTATTTTACATGCAAATCAAGTTCGATATCGAATCTGCTATGATTTATGGATTAATTATAGTTTATGGACTACGTTCTATATTCTATTTTGATTTATTGCGGAAAAGGTCAAAATACGTGCCAGGTGATGAGTATAAAAACGCTAGTAAAGTCTCACAACAGTATAGAAAATTTCCAGTAGGTAGTTGTTTTTACTACAGATATGTTTTTGGTTAAGTACATTTGCACTGAGTGGCTAAATCAAAACGCTATGCTGCGCACGCTTGGCAGATTGTGACCATTCTGAATTAATTTAGATGATACTTAGCCTTTTAGCTGAATCATAAAACAAATGATCCTACACTTCAGCATCACTGAGTGAAAGGGAATGTAACCTTCCTTGAGTGTGTCCAATATTTAGTGGAAGTGTGCAGTTGCTGCTCCTCGAATGAGGGATTTAGAATAACTGACAGAAAGTGAGTGTGGTTCTCCTATCTTTCAGCGAACTGTATTCCTGAACACTGATAGAAGAGCCTCTCTTCGAGTGATCCTTGGAAGAAACAGTGCGAAGTTTTCACTATTTTCCATTAGGTCATCGCTAAAGACATTGATTTTGTGATGAAACTTTTGATGATCTGAGGAACCATTCCCTGGAAGGTATTCTATTTCGCTCTGAAATTGAGCGCCTGGTCTATTTCAAGGAAGGAGTCTACTTGCTATATGACTCTTCAGGATCCTCCGAACTCAATACCCCAATCATTCCACGGCTTTGGATATGATCGACTGCCTATCGACTGTTTCCTACACCTTCAAAGCTCAAAGCTCCTCCTTCCAGTAACTTCTTTAGTTTCTCTTGCTTCCTTTCTACACCCAAATCATTTATTTCCACCAAATGTTGTGTAACCAATATGTTTGTTTGTTGATGCATCAGTACTCTACATGAAAGTATGTAATAGAGATTCGAAGAACGTGTACATTGTTGATAATCGTGAACTTTTATTATTATTTGCAGTTCAGAGCATATTGTGGTTTATGTCTTGCATATGTTTTTCAACTCAGCTATCGTGATCTTTTTTAAACGTCGAGACTTGGTTTTAAGTTGTATACTGTTAGTCAAAAGTAGTGCACTCTAAGAATACTGCGTAATCCGTGCCACAAAAATCCTACCGATATAGTAGCACTATAAAGACTTATCCTTCTTGCCATTTTTTAGGAAAACCAGGATTTCAAGTGAATAAAATAACCTAGTCACGTCGGGGCAACAGATAGAAAAAGAAGTTGATCATAGAAAATATTTATAACCCAACACAGTATCTCGACTTTCAATATCGGCTTGCCCGGTTGTGCTGATGAGGCTTAGGTCATGGTCGAAGCATAGCAGTATAATAGGTGGCCGCAGTGGTAGACTCTTTGGTTCCTGATCAGTCGCCGTGTGCTGAGCGGGTTCGAATCCCGTCCCAAGAGAAATTTTTCTCTTGTCGATGGATGTTGTGATTGTCCGTAGGTGGTAGACGGACTGTCGAACGTGGAGGTACCATCCGGAGGATTCGTAGGCGGGGCCAGAATGTGTGCATGTTGCATACACACGTGTTCCCCCGCCAGAGTCCGTTTGGCGTCCCCTGTAGCCCCACGGTACCCCCTGTGTGTTTAGGCCTTAGACCTTCGTGGTAGTTAGAGTATAAAAAAGAAAAAAAGTAATTTTTTGAGTTTTCGACTCAGTACTCTTACGCGTTTCTCTTTGTTGGTCTTTATACACCTAGACCTTTTTGTGGATCTACGTTTCTTAAATGCTTCCATCGTTTTTGAATGTGAAGGGTGTAAGGCTCGTATCTTCACACAAAACAACTTTGGCAGCAGCGTTTGTTACTTGTTGTTACTGTACCATTGTAATCCTAAACGGGCAACATTTTTCGACAAGCGGTGTAAGTTTATCTCCCACAAGGTTTAGCAACACATTCAGGTTTTTTATTTGACTTATCTTTTCTCGATAACACTTGCCATTTCTTGTAATGTATTGGTTTTTGTACTTCTACTATGAAATTTGAGATTCTGTTTAGTTCCCAGCAATGTAGATATATACTTCATCTGGTCTGTGATTAAATATACTACGGCGGTGAGTATCTTTTTTTGTAATTGTTGAAAATGGAACTTAGAGAAAGTTTGCAAAGCCTGAAAAAGTTCGGAGATAATAAAACATATCTAATACTAACCTTGAATATTGAATGATGATGCTCGATCATGTATTGAAATTAGATGACCAGTCGCAGACTGCATCGCTCCATTCCCATTGGAGCGTTTCAGAATGATATACATGTCACCTCCGACACTAATCGATTGTAGCATATTCTAAGAAAAGTAGCGTCATTCCCAGAGTAGAAAGTAGGTCCAAAGGTAGTTCGGAAAGTTCATATAAATATCGTCTCAAAGATCCTCCTTATTGCGGTACTGGGTATTTTTACTACACCAGTACTAGTACGAAATTCACTACACTAGTGAAGTAGATACTGGCATACAAAGGGAGAAAGGAAAATATTTCTCACAAAATTGAGCGTTGTTGAAAAAATCGATTGATTTTACATAAAAAAAGACTGCTCAGGCCGCAAAAATTGCTATTACTTACATGCGGACTGGGAGGGGCTCATAGACTCACTCATCCTTTCTTGAAGAGATAACCGAAATTAACTACGTTGGGATGGAGGAATACATCCCTTACACAGTGAATGTGCCTATACCAGGATCCAACGGCTGGTTCAACAAATCGTACGACACTGCTCGTCATCAGAATGTCAAGGCACACTGAATCCTCTTCCAAATCCCTACGATAGGAAATAGACAAGCCAACGTCGAGTCCAGAAACAAATATAATGAAGCGGTCCGCAATGTGAAGAACAGCATGATATAAAAGTTAGGCACAGGGTAATGTCGCAGCGCAATGGTACCTGATCTTTGTGGACACTGACCAAGCAGATTGAAAGAAACTTCGCACGGAGTAGCCTTCCACTACTTACGTGTCAGGATGGAATGACTGTAACCAACTCAAACGCTAAGACGGAACTGCTTGCCAACATCTTTGCTGTCAACTTCACAACGGACGTCCACCCCCCCCCCCCCAACGCCCGAGTGCCGCCGCCAATTCAGAGGGTTCCCTGCACTGTGCGGGAAGTAACATTCAGGCATAAGAAACAAAGCCAACAAAGCTTGTGGTCCGTACTTGATTCCTGCTGTTGTATTGAAGAGATATGCAGCTGAGCTTGCTCCAGTCTTTCCGCGTCTCTTCCAGACATATAACAAATCCGACACCTTCCCAGAAAACTCGAAATTTGCTCATGTCCAACCCATCCCAAAAAAAAGGGATCTAAGACCGACCCTTACAACTATAGTCCTATAGCTCTGCTTTCTGTTATAAGTAAGGTGTCCGGCACGTGCATAAATTGCGAGTTTCTGGACTGCCTCGAAGGTCTCGGCTTGATTAGCGACAGGCAGTATGGTTTCCGGCACCAGCGATCCACAGGAGATCTCCTAGCTTACGTCATTCAATTGAGGAGTAATCTTATCCAGTCTTATGGTGCGCCTCTTGTCGTTGCTATTGATATCATGAAAGTGTTCGATCAGCTGTAGCATGCTGTCCTCTTATACGAACGTCCATCCTATGGTCTACCGTAGAGGCTTTGCAGATCGCTGCCAGATATCCGTCGTAATTGACGGGTTCTGCTCTTGCTCCCAGAACGTCAACGCGGGTGTCCCCCGGTCTTGGCTCCAACACTGTTCCTCTTATATCAGCGACATCTTTCTCTGTACGATAAATCCAATCCGCTCCTTTGCTTATTACAGCACTCTACATACAGGAATTCACAGCGACAAGCCGATCTATGCGGGTGAGCTGGGAAAAAGAAAACTAGCAGCGACTTCCTCCCCGACGAAAGACCTGGAGGTTATCACTGCTTGCGGATGCAACAATCTTGTACAGTTAAATGCTTTCAGAACACAGTACAGTATCCTGACGAACAAGAAGCATCGTAGCGATCATCCGGTTTCCATGGATAGGCGACGTCTGCCAAGGAGCCTTAGTCAGTTCAAAACTCGGATTAATAAAATTTCTTTGGAATCCTGATAGCAGCCGCGGTGTTCTGGAAATAAGGCTTTGGTGTTAAGAAACGTGTTTAAACAATTTCGATGAGTAGTTTAAGAGATACATGGAAACCAATTTGATCTTATTTATGTTCGTATCCTCATCTCTTCTGGATGGGTCAGCAACACTGCGATTCTAACACATGTAGAAGGATAATCTGCAATGTTCCTGTTGGAATTCATGTCCCATTACTGGCCTGGTGTTTTTATAGATATCCCTCTCTTTTATTACACACAGGGTAAACAAACCCAAATATCTCAGAATCTAAAGGTTCTAGAAAAAACTTTAAATATAGAATAGTGACCTTGGATTTGATGTTGACAATCACCTTGAAGGCCATTTCAAGGACAAGTTGGCTTCTTCCAAATATTAGGCTGCAGAGATAGAAAGTCAAACAAGTTTTATTTTTGGGAGCAGGTACACTTTTACAAAAACTCATCACTTGCAGATGATCGACACACCGCCCCCCCCCCCCCCCCCCAAGAATAATTTCTGCAAACTCCCACGTACACTAGGAGGTAATCTTACTGCACCATAGCATTGTTTGGTGAATATTTATGTATTGTGGTTAATTAGTTTAATGAATCGCACAAAAATTTGCAGCCCCCTGTATCTTGCTATCGACACATTTTACTGTTCTTTCTACTCTATACATTACCACGATCTTTTGAATCACCTTGTTTAGCTGTTCACTACTTCTATCCTCTACACTTAATCTACGTACGTCGCACTGAAGAACTATAAATGAGAGCAGATTGAAGAAGGCAGTCAAAGATTCTATAATAAAATCCGCTATTTTGTTCTAGATGCTGACGATAAAGATCATTCCACTTCTTTGCCTACTGCAGCTATGCTACCACTTTCGACCAGTTTCATCAAAGATCTTCGGGTTTTCTAACGTCATCAACACGCGATGTAGGATAGATAGGTTCAGGAGGTCTGAAGATAGTAGTGAAGAAGAAGGAGAAATGACAGAGCCGACACACACTGATCTGGGTAGACTGTCGGTCGAACCTATAAGTTTGATCAGCGTGCGTCGCAAACCTGCAAGGTTCAGCAGAAATTCGTATATCCAAGACATAGGAAGCACAGAGATAGCAAACAAAGTCAGACGAGCTATTGTCTCAAAACCTAAGCCAACAACGAAAGACTTTCTTACAAAGGTGCCCCGAAAAATTTCCAGGATGAGACGTCAAGAATTTAAGCCCAATGTAGGCTTTACGAAAATGGAAATAAAGACAAACAAAACTAAGGACAATCCCTATCGAAGTGAAGGGTCTATAGTGAGCATGCCACGTAAGTCTGGTAGATATAGAAGGGATACATATCTTAAGGTTGAGAGTTATATCGACGGAAATGAAATAACAGAAACGAACAAGGAGCAAGCTACTGCTGCCAATCCTGAGCTAGGCCGGCCAGTAACTTATTTATGCAATAGAAGTTTTTCAGAAACGGAAATAAAGTCAATCGAACGAGTGGGGAAGAACATATACCCCACGCGTATGGAAACCGCTTACAAGTTCCTAGTAGATATACCCCATAAGCCTGGCAAATACGGGAGGGATTCATATCTTAGACTCCAAACAGGCATTCAAGAAAACGCAGCTAGCATAGAAACGAAAAAAGCCCAAAATACTACTGCCATACCTGAGCAAGAACTCGCTTATTCACTAATACATGTACCTCGTAAGCTTTCTCGATTCAGAAGAACCTCACCTACCAGAGTTCAAAGAAGTCTCGAAAAGGACGATGCTAGGATGGAAACCAAGCAGGAACAAATCGATACTGTCAGACCTGGGGTACATTCTCATATACCTCAAAAAGTACTGATATATGTACCTCGTAAAGCTTCTAGATTCAAGAGGGGTTTACATTTAAGGCCCCATCAAACACATGATTGTTCAAGCTCAGATAAAGCGATGAGGCAAAAAAGGTCTGTTGCTATCGGGCCTCAGGACGTGTTGGAAGAACTATTGCTGAGTGTACCTCGTAAGCGTGGAAGATTCAGAAGAGGCTTATATCAAAGGCCTTATCAGAGATGCGATTGTTCAAGCTCAGACTTTACCTCAGAGAATACGAGTTTAGCGACGAGGCAAGAAATGTCTGTTACTACCATCCCTTCGAACATGATTGAGGAACTTTTGTTAAGTGTACCTCGTAAGCGTGGCAGATTCAGAAGAGGTTTGTACCTAAGGCCTTATCGGGAACACGACTGTTTACGCTCAGATCTTAACTCGCACGGAAGGGTCAAAAGGGACATCATAGGGGAAGCTGGGATAGCGGTGAAACAAAGAAGAGCTATACCCGTCAGACCTCATTCTCATGGTAGACTTAAGGGATATTTGATGAATGTGGTAAATAAGCGTGGAAGATACAGAAGAGGTTTATATTTCAAGCCATCAATGAAAACGTGGTTGCCTATAAATAGGCTTTAGAGCTTGAAATGATTGCTTTGCATTCTGAAAGGTTATACAGGGTGTCCACTTGAGAACTTCCCTCCACGGGCTTATCGAAAACCACTGATTAAAAGAATAAACGCCAAGACACGTCAGAAGGTTTGTCAAGGGGGACAAATTTTCAACCGAAAACTACTTCACCCTTTTCACCATCTGCCACCCAGGGTCATCCCTTCAATTTTTTTTAACGACAGGGGATATCAAGTAATAGCTTGTTTGAAAGGTCTTTCAAAGTCTTTTATTTTGACATTTGAATTTTTCAAATCGGTCGATTTGCTTTCAAGAAAATAGGAAAAAATTTTATTCATGTTAATTTGTGGAAACAAAAACACACGAAAATATTACTTGTTATTTCACTAAGTGTTCAAAAAGATGCCCGCTATTGGTCAATGATATAGGCGATGTTCAAATTCCTGACGGATGTTTTCAAAAACATGGGATATCATGGCAGCTTTCGATGATGGGTTTACGAAGTTCAATCAAACTTTCAGGTTGGAGAGTAAACACAATAGATTTCAAATGGTCCCATAGAAAAAAGTCTAACGGCGTCAAATCAGGACATCTAGCAGGCCGTTCTATAGGCCCTCTTCGCCCTACCCATTTATCTGTATTTGTTCACATAACTTAACTCGTCTATCGAAATCATCTTCGGTTAAGTCTTGCAATATTTTCATTTTGAATGGACAAAATTTATGGAGTTTAGTAACTGCGTGTACAGAGCCTAATGAAATGCCAGTCGCAGCAACAATTTTGCGTGATGAAGTAAAATGACCCAAAGCTTCAACTTGAGCGGCTTCATCCAAAACTGTCGCATCAGATCCAGTTTGAGTAAATTTAGTAACAAGGTGAAGAACCTACCGATGCAAAGTTATCTTCCCCGGATGTCTGGCATTAAACGTGACAGTAGTTTGCGGAGCACACTGATTTTGGGCTCCATAAATTAGCATCGTTTCCACTCTGTCTGCTAGTGTGTAAACCATTTTGGAAGTAAAATCTGAATCAATAAATTAATTTTCACTATCCTAAGATTGTCACAAAGGTAACTGACAACAAAGTAAATTCTTTCTTTCCCTTATCAACAAATAAAACTAAACAGGTTTTTTTTTTTCGTTTTAAGTTATAAACGAGTTGTTGATTTGGCGAACTGATTAAAATAAAAGGTGATCTTTTCGTGGGCTTTTGTTGTCGATTTGAACAAAGTAAGATAAATAAAGATTTTTCTAATTTTCTCTGAAAAATCAAACGTCAAAGTAAAGGACTTCGAAAGACCTCTCAAACAAGCTATTATTCGATACCCTTTGACATTTAAAATTTTTAAGGGAATGACCCTGGGGGGCCGAGGATGAAAGGGGTGAAGTAATTTTTGGTTAAGAAGTTGTCCCCCTTGACGAATCTTTTGATGTGTCTCATCGATTTTTCTTAGTGGCTTTCGATAAATCTGTGATGGGAGGTTTTCAAATGAACTACTTGCTTCTATTAGTTTTCTGTAGTTCCGTGGTTTGGGTGTAGCTTTTGTCGCTGTGTTATCTCAGCAAACGTCAAGCCCATTTACAACTTTGAGGATTGAAAGTGCCTGTACTCTGTATCTGTAACATATATTGTATCGTAGGGTGTCCTAAATATAAACTATGATATTTTATCTGGATATCTATGATTTACTATTTATCATAAGTTGCGAGCCGTCTTTATGCTGTTTGCACTTTCGACTGTACGTACTCCAGAAATAGAAAATTATTTTGTGAATATTAATATTGTACTTTTACTTAGTTTAAAGCATTATTTTATACTTTTACGTGAATAAATGTATTACGGTAACCACAGCGTCGGCTACCTTGTTATTTAGGCACCTTTATTGCTCATGTAAGTACAGAAAAAGAAAAAGTACATAAATCTGATGCAGTGAGCAAACGGCAAGGTTCGCATGATTGACAACCATTAGTTGTCAATCCGCGCTCTACCACCTAACCAAAAAAATAAAAATAAAGTAGTATATCAGTAATAATAACAACAACAAGAGAAAAGTTAAACGTTAACACAGATACATATAGACATATTATGTTTTAAAACTATATATTATATTATAGATCCATAGATCCATAGAACTGTTGCAGGCACCTTGGTAAAACCTATAATCTATCTATATACACTAGTAGTAAACAAGCAAACGATATCGTCCTACCTTGTCAAGAATTTGGTTGGTAAACAGTCCATGAAATAACCTTTTGGCGAAGAGTTTCCATCTATAAGGATAAAATACGGGTCTGGATATATTGGTGAAGCGGATTTTACAATTTTCAGTCGTTTTCGGCTATATTGATATAACCTCTGAGTGACGTAAAATTGACAAGTTGACTGTTATTCCTGATTCATACTACATAAGAAATTACTATACAGAGCGTCATGACCCGCAAAAATAAGAAGGAAGAAGAAGAACAACAAGAAAAGCCTGAGAATGAAACAAACTGCATTACAGATGAAGAAAATCGACCTGATTCGACTAATGTAAAACAGATATTAGAAGAGAATCGATCCCTGAAGAAAGCACTAGCAGAAAAGGAGGAAATAATTCGTCAGCTCAATAACGAAAATTTAAAATTAAAAGAGCAGCAGCTGTCAGTAACCGCAAGTATTACTGAGAAGGATGCCATAGCATCAGCATTAAATAGAATTAACATGAGACTAGACGAAGTTGAGAAAAACCAGTTAGTAAAAGAAAATTCGTACGCACAAATCTTAAAACAAACGATACCTATTACTAAAAAGCAATCGCTGAAATGCATCACAGTTATTCCAAATGAAAAACAATCTTGCGATAATACGAGAAGAGAATTGAGTAAGAGAATAAATCTTTCATCTCTGAACATTCAAATAGAAAGTATAAGAAACTCAAAAAATGGCGGAATTGATATAAAAATTGATGAATCAAATCATAATAAACTGAAAGATGAACTTCAAAATAAATTGAATGAAAAATACCAAGTTACTGAGCCAAAAATGTTAAATCCAAAAATTAAAATAATAAATTATAAAAGTAGTGAGAAACCGAATGAAAAGCAAATTGAAGAAGATCTTGTACATCAGAATTATATGATTCAGAGTGGAGACATATAAGTAAAGTTTATAAAATATTTTCCATCAAGAAACAATTACACTATCTACGCGGAAACTTCTGCAAAGCTATTCAAAAAAATCTTCGAAGACAATAATAGAAGAATACTTCTGGGGTGGCAATGTTTGACAGTATATCAAAATAACGACATTTCTCAGTGTAGAAAATGCTACCGTTTTAATCATACAGAAAAGAATTGCAGGAATGAGAAGACATGTGCCAACTGTGGCAACGGTCACGAAGGAGAAAATTGAAAGCATGTATCAATAGAATGCTGCAACTGTAGATATGGAAATGAAAGATATAAAAAAAATTATAATATTAACCACTCACCTACCGACAAAAACTGTCCATCATACAAATATTATCAGGAACAACAAAACTTAAGGATACTTTTTTAAAATTCAAGTTCATCTTTTGATACTCCTATCTCTAAAGAGGACCTAAAAATGTCAGTAAATATATACATCAATTGATTTCCAAATTCCAAATATTGCAACAAATATAGCACAAAACGTCGATGAACTTAATTTATGTACACAAAATTCTGATGCAAAATTTCGAATTTTTAATATGAACATAAGGAGTATAAAACACAACATTGATTACTTAAAAATACTACTCGACCAAATATGGTACAATTTTGATCTAATAGTTTTAACTGAAACGTGGCAAGTGGTTGATATTTCTTGCTTCAATCAGCAGGGATATGACACGCTGTATAACTTTGGCACTTATAACCAAAACGATGGGGTGATAGTTTTTGTAAGAAATGAGCTACAATATAATCATGATACATTCACTTTCACCGATGGAATCAAAATTTTAAACATAATGATCCAAATTAACCATAACAAAATTGAGGTATCTGCAATTTATCGTCCGCCATGTTCAGAACCCCACGAGTTTTTGAAGAATATCGAATTTTTCTTTCGAAATCAAAATAAAGTTCATTTAAAGCAACATATTTTCTTGGGAGATGTCAATATAAATATTTTGGACAATGATCCCATCACAAATGAATACTTGAATATCCTATCAAGTAACGGAATTCTGTCCTATATAAACCTACCTACAAGGTCCATCAGTGGCACATGTATAGATCACTGCTTTGTGAAAGACCTATCCAACAAAATTACTTGTATACCAATAATACTAGAAAGCGATATTACTGACCACTTCTCCACTATTTTACTGATATCTTCAAATGAAAAACATTCTAACATTCCTACCGTTAATAACAACCAGGAAAATTACAAATTTTTTGTCGACAATTCAAAACTAATATCAAATGTCAAACAAGAATCCTGGAAACAATTATACTCTATAAATAATATAGACAAAGCAACGGGACTGTTCATAGAGAAAATAAAAAAAACTAATAGATATTAGTACCAATAAAGTAATAATTAGTCACAAAGAGAAAAGCAGAAATGCCTGGATTACCAAAGGATTAATAACATCGGCAATAGAAAAAGAAAGACTATATAATGTAATGAAACTAACGCCAACTACAGAGAATACCGACTGTTACAACCAACATAAAAATAAATTTATAGAGCTTGCAAGGCAAACCAAACGAAAACATTACCTAAATAAATTGAATAATAACTTAAATGATCCTAAGCGGCTTTGAACAACTATTGATGAGATTACTGGGAAAACAAAATTTAAAGAGTGTGTCACTGAATTAAATACAACATCGGGAACAGTATTAAAAAATACTCAACAGATATGCGATGAATTTGTACAATTCTTTACTGACATAGGCGAAAATTTAGTAATATACAAGCAAATGTACAAAATACTCAGCCTCCAAAAAGAACTTTGAACTCATTTATTTTGGATAAAGTCGAACAATATGAAGTATACACCACTGTTATGTCCTTAAAAAATCGGAAAAGTCCTGGGTTCGATGGTATTAAAAGCGAGCATTTGAAAATTATAGCCGAGGACATAACAGAACCACTCACCTACCTAATCAACAAATGCTTTGAATCTGGCATATATCCCTCAATTTTAAAAAAAGGTAATATAATACCGATGCATAAATCAGGAACAAAAACAGATGTTAACAACTATAGACCAATATCAATAATATCCAGTGTAGCAAAGGTTTTTGAAAAAGTTTTATCTACTAGAATGATTCGATACCTCACAAAATTCAAAATTTTAAGTGAAAATCAATATGGATTTACAGAAGGGAAGGCTACATCGGACGCAATAACTAAAATTGTAAATCAAATATATCAAAATATTGATAACAGAATCCCTTCAATCTGCATTTTTGTTGATTTAAAGAAAGCTTTCGACACAGTTAATCACACATTATTATTAGAAGCATTGGAGAGAATTGGTTTCAGAGGAAACGCGTACTCACTGATCGAAAGTTATTTGTCAAATCGCCCACAATCTGTGCAGATATCAGGATCATTTAGTAAAGAAATGTATATTAAGTGTGGTGTCCCACAAGGAACTGTCTTAGGTCCGCCGTTATTCAATATATATTTAAATGATATTTTCCAAATTAATTGTGTTGGCAAAATAACTAGTTTTGCAGATGATACTGCAATATTATATGAAGGCACTGACTGGTCTGATCTGAAAAATGTAATTGGAAATGATTTTATCAAAATTATTCGGTGGTTTAACAGTAGAAAATTAAGCATTAACTACTCTAAAACACATTTTTTACCATTTGGATCTTATGCTAGACATCTGCCAAATTACACAAATTTCTCCTTCAATATTAATGATCAAAAAATGCAAATTAATAGAGTGCCCAACATAAAATACCTTGGAGTGGTCTTGGATCCTCACTTACGATGGGACATCCATGTCAATTATATTTTAAAGAAAGTTAGATTTGTATCCTATAAAATTAAATACCTTGGGAATATATTGACAGAAAAATATCTTCAAACATTATACCATGCACTGATTGAGCCTCATCTCACATATGGTATATTAGCATGGGGAGCTGCATGTTCCTCACATATCTATAATTTAGATGTTTTTCAAAAAAGTATTCTAAAAATGATATTTAAAAAACCGAAACTTTATCCCACTGAAAAATTATATATGCAGATGTTCGAATGATATAAGACAGCTTTATTTCTTACACAGTATCACTCACTACCATAAATTTGTAAACACCGACCAAAAAATTAAACATAATCATTATACCAGATACAAAATTCGTGGCACAGTAGTTCCTCAACCGCATAAATCTATAATGCAGCGATCATATCTCTATTTAGCGCCTAAATTTTATGAAATTATACCTAAAGACTTAAAAGATTTACGTTTCGGAAATTGTTTCAAAAGAAATTTAAAAAAGTGGCTACATTCTATATCTAGAACTGAAATTCATAAACTCATAAATACGAACATCAACTAAATACATAATCTACTGTAGCTAATTTTTGTCCTTTTTTGTCATTTGCATTCTACAGTTTCAACTTAAATTATTGGTCCATGTACAGGCGATGCCTTCTATTGGGCCTGTTTTGATTTTATATTTATTTACTCATATTGTTTGTTATCTTTGTACATTGAGTAAATAAATATTATATTATTATTATAATATAAAACGAGTTGATACTTGAATGATATTGATAGAAGTTGTATCTTATGAAGGTAAAATGTCAAAGATCAAACGAAAAACACATACAGAAGAATAATTGGCAAATCAGCGTGCAGTGTTAAATTTAAGTCATCTCAAGTCTCAACATAGTCTGGCTTAAATCTCAAAATTGATAGGGCTTTAATTCTATCAGGCAGCGACTAAACCTTAACTGTGTCATATGAAAAAGAGCACTTATAATTTGAAGTTTTAAATTTAGGTAGTAAGATATGATGTTTAAACCTCGTGTTACGACTATGCACTTGTGTACGGATCTTGATCTTCTTGTAAAGATAGGATGGTGATTCAGTATTGAGTATCTTGTGGTATAGTACGGATCGATGAAGGAACCTTCTTTTCTCTATATTGAGCCAACCTAAGTTCTTTAAGTGAAGATATCGGCTGCCGCCTTCTAATACCACTAACAAACCTGACACAAGAATTTTGAATACGCTGAAGGCCTCCCATCTACCAAATCATCTTTAGCTTGCTCTTAAAGAAGCTCATATTAGTATATCATTGATTACGTGAAGTGCTCAGGGGGGGGGTCTAGTCGAATCTCACCCAATCTCACGTGAAGCAGAGGGCTATCTCAGCGAGTATCACGTGATTTTTTTCTGCAATAATCAGTGAGAGTTGCATGAAAATTAAGCTAAATCAAAACATGCTTCTAATATAAAACTTATGCATTTAAGTATTTTATTGCTCAATTTTATCACTATCGTCTGCTTAGACTACGATCTAGGCAACAACGCATCTACATCAGAAGTAGTTAATGACCCCTGCACAAGATTAAAGCTTTACAATGATAAGCACATGTAAGCATTCGGTTTATTTATTTATTTTTTTAGAAAAACGACATTTTGCAACACCTTGTATAAAAAGATACTGTTAAAGGCAGCTCCCGCAGTTGGGTTTAAAACTTGGCGTACTTTTTCATCTCGAAACCTTAAATAAATCCAGTACCAGTCATTTTGAAGGAGGGTTTTATTTGGACCTGACAAATGATGAAAGCGAAATATTTGCACCTTTGTCAGGCCTTAGTTAACCCCACATGACTCAGATTTCACCATAGAGACCGATTAACAGTTCGATGATGCCCTTTTTGCACGATGCTTGCATAGTTCCCACTATGCACTCCGCTCCTAGTGACAGCCTGCTGAAATTGCATCTCTCGAACATTCAGTAGTATACAGGATCCCGAACTATTATTATTTTCTAGGGTGTTGTAACAGTACCTGCATATTACACACAGGTGTGATGTAATATCCATTTGAGCGCAGACAATATATATCCTACATTATAGACAGCTGAGGTGTGAACCCGATAAGATATCTGGAGTATACTGCGTTGTATCAAAATATTATTCAACAACATGACATAATAACCTAATTTCTGTAATTCAAAGAAATGTTGTTCTCGATTCTTGGATTAAGTATGAGTTTCATATAATTATATCACTCTTTATGTTGATATTTGTGGAAACAAATATTCACATACAAACAAATTGCGATTCAGTACCAGTCAGTGTGTCCTGTGTGAAAAATAATCAACATGGTAAGCACCAGCTTAGCATGTTGAAATTAAAATTTTGTTTTTCATGTGTCGTGAGGTGCCGTGGGACCGAATTTGTGCTAGAAAATGGTTCGCTTGGGACTCTTCGTTAGCCCTAGCGTCAAAGTGATGTCGGATTTCGTATCTACGCTTCCGATTTACCCAATAAACATGTCTCCGGTCAGTTCACAGAAAGTGGATTTTGTAATTTTTGATGCCTTAAGAACATTTTAAGTACCTTGTAGGGCAAATTTTTCTATTCTCTCTTTCATTGGGACAAGTGAACGAAACTGAATACACAGATAACTTTAGGCACTTAATTCCAACATTATCGCGAAAAAATCGCTAGGTGTCGTAGTGCCAAAGTGGTGTTATCTCCCTTGGTTCCACGTGCGTTCTATGACATTAGCCGAGATATAATTGGTTTCAAAATTAAATACGATATCAACTTGAAGTTTCCTGGGAGATACTTTGTCAAAGTTGTGTTATACGGTTGTTATCCTTGCTACTACTAAAAAACACTGACGTACTATTTTTATCTGTAAAAATAATGTCACTAATCCCCTATATCTCCACCACTGGTGCTCATTAATTTTAAGTGAAGACTATTGAATGTGGACAATACTTAGGTAAATCCACATACCAAATATAAGTTCATTCCAGTTGACGGTTTTGAAGATATCAAAAAAATTTACTTTTATTTTTAAACTTCATCTATCGTTGAAGCCTTCGAGAAAAAAATGTTACTTAGGTGATCCCCCTTAAAATGCGGTCCTGTGTATGATGTTTTATTTCTGGTCACGACTTGTCACCCTGGATAATGCGAATATGACCACCAAAAAATCATTAGTGTCATAAAGCCGAGTTTTGAGCTAGCAACTGTATTGTTAGAGACCTTTTGTGGATCAAATAGTTGTCGTTAGATTTGAGTTCTCGGATACAGCCAAATACCAGATAACGAGAGTGCACATTTTCTGTCTAGGCTGGGGGCCAGGGGCTCCTGAGTCGGTCCCGAACCGAGGTTGGGTACAGTCACCATCAGTTCAATGTTGCATTGAATGAATGGGCGTGAGAGGACCTGGACCTGGGTAAAGAGAGAAACAGAGGCTTGACTGCTAGAAGGTCAAGAGGTTCGTAGTTGGCCCTGACAAATATCGGTCCCGCTGGCTACTGATCAAAGTTAGAGAATCCCTCAATATTTTGAACTGGCTCGCGCCGGCCGCTGTAGACTTAGGCCCGTATTGTCAGTCGTCCCTACAACTGTAGGGCGCGTTTATGGCCTCCTTAATTGTCATACTCCTTTCTCTCCTTCAAAAATTTCTAGATTACACTTGTCCCGTGTCAGCGACAGCGCTCTCCTATTGTGAAGATATGTTTTCTTTTTAAATTGTAGGAAATTTCAGGCTGACAAAACATGATATAACTCAAAAGCAAGCACAATTTGATGCAAATAGATGTTTGTGACATAACCTCAAAATAGAGTTCTGACACGGAGAAGTAGAAAACTATGACAATCAAGGAGGCCATAAAGGCGCCCTACAATTGTAGCGACGACTGACGATACGGGCCTTAACAATGGCTTGTTCTTTTCAAGGTTGGGAATAGTTTCTTGTTGTCCCATATGCTGAGGAGCGTCATATATTGCTGTCCATGGGCCGAGATATTCGGAACCATTGTGTTTGATGTTGAAGTCGGATACTTAGCGGGGTATTCGGACATTCCATTCTTCATTGTGACATCAGGAAGATTTAATAAATTACCAAATTCTCCCATAGGCAAAGCGAATAAAGCTTGGTACCCTAATCTAATGTTGGAATGCTGAATATAAATATGACCGCCAACAAATCGTGTGAAGTGTCCAGGGGTAGTATTTGAGATAGAAAATGCATTGCTTGGGAGAATCTAGCTGCAAACTGCATTTTGCATTCGTGGATGATACAACACTGCTAGAACCCTTTGACTGTTCTGATGAGCCACCACAAATCATTCGCGGTTTCCGCAGTTAGTGTATCTGTGAAAAGCAAAAACCTGTACAAAATAATATAAGTTAATGATTCATTTCAGCAAGCAGAAGTATTGCCGATATTGATGCTCCACCTAGCATATGGGACATTTTCACAGCCGACTTCGCTCATAGAAACTGAGGTATCAGTACCCAGACCAGCCAAGCCTGGCAACATGCTGATCTATGTACCAGAAAAGGTGATCAGACTTAAAAGGCAATGTTGCTTCGAGACTGTCTGCGAAGAAGTACCTTTAGGTATGTACGGGTTTAATATACATCTGAAGTGATTTGGCAACGTTTTGGCACACGCCCACAATTCGTTCCATCTTTCAACACAGACATTGATAACCTTCGGCCTTCTGTCAAAGGTTCTTCTCACTCATTATTCCATGACCACCATTTTGTGCAATCATCAAGTGGCTTCACGACGTAATGCTCTAATGTTGTCTAAATAATTTTTAATCTGTCTTTAACTTGTCTTGTCATATTTTATATAATTTTAACCATTGTACCATGTATCCAGCTCTCACCATGTTACTGGACGTTTCCCTCATCCTATGCGAAAACAACAATTAGCAACATCCTCACATACTACTGTAAGTTGATTCAATTTAAATTCATTTTACACTTTTGTTGCTACTGTTATCATTGTAATTGCAGCTCCTGATGATGATGGCAAAGTCCATTGAAAGCTAGAGAGAATTAAAGAAAGTATAAAGAGTCCTCTTTGCTTAAATTTTGTCGAAGTACCCAACAAAAGGCGGAAGCTTTAATTTTTCACCTATACATCCGAACACATTAAAAATTAGCGAAAAGCAATTTTGGGGACAAAACCGAAAAGTCTCTTCTAACCTTCTGAATTGCTGCATCGACCGCGGGTTGTTGGCAATTATACTTAGTTTTTGTAATTTTTTCAGACAACTTTTGGGTGTCGTGAGCATTACAATTTTTTCAAAATCCAAAGTTTGTTTTTAAGTTTGTCCCTTGTCATTTCAAGAGTCTATTACCAATTGTTAATGACTTGCATTTTTTTAATCAACCTTTTGTATATTTATAGTAGTAGCAGTACTCCGGTGTTTTAGCATTTGCCCTTGTTGTAACTAACGTATAAAGACTGCATTCTTCCAATACATTCCTCCGTGTCAAATACCGCCAACTTATTTTGAGCTGTTATACTAACGCTGTTCCACATTGCAGGTATGGACTATCACAGCACCTTCAAATGCTATGAAAAATCTGTCTGTGGCAAAAAGTGCGACAAAAATCGTGGTGCAACTGGGTGGTACTCTGACTATAATCAAGTTCCACAATTGATAAGGCGAGATTTTATTGACAAATTCATCACACACAGTCAATGTGTCAGTTATAAGTTTGACTGCAGTGTTTGCCCTGATCCCAGTCGGTACAGAATTAACATATTCGACTTATCCAAGGACTGTGTGAATTGTTACTATCAGGGGCGTGTATAAGAGATGAGCCAAACAGGATACCGCTATCTACAAACACGACTATGGAAGAATTAGCCAATTGTTATATTTGGATCCCATTAGCTTAGCTTCTGTATTACTCTCTACAGGTTACTATTAGCTGTTGAACTTGGTATTGTTAATTACCAGTTTTATGACTGTTATCAAAGTACAAATGTATTTTTTTATAAATAAAGTGCTATAACGTACATTTATAGCTGATTTCTAATGGAGAAAAATATTGAGACATGCGCTTGATGTAGGTAAGTTCTAGAAATATTGGGAAATTGTAGCTTTAGAGAATCAACAGTTCCAAGTTCCATATTAATATTCAATTTTAATCTGGAAGCATCACGTGCGAAGTGCATCGGCAACCTACTTAAAGTAATTATTTGGATCTGTGTCTGTATAAAACTTGCGAAAAACCACATATAAATCTTGGTGTCCAAACCAAGCTTAAATGTCATATAGGTAAACTTTGCAGAAAAAATAAAGACGTTACTTATTCATTAGCTTTCTTATGCCGTTTACAAAGAATTTTTTCTAAATAACCATTATTTTGTTGCTCCATAATTGTTGTATATGTGCTTGTATCTAACAAAGATCCTGGAAATCTGTTCCTTGAATTAGCCACATTTGAATAAAGAACCACATATCCCTTTAAAAGTACCAGTTGTGTGGGTATCTTATAAGTATGTTTTTGGCACTTATCTGTTAGATGACACTATAATTTCTAAATGGCGTTTTTGAACAACCACGATATCCCCCAAATGTTTACGCCAAGAAGGCTATAAGCCACTTAAGTTAGAAAATAGGGGCAAAACGGAAATTAGTCGATGATGAAAACAGTGCTTGTTTCAATGACACTGAGCACGGATGGTTCTAGATTCAGTTCAGGTGTGAAGGTCAGACACTATGGCTGGTGACTAGTGGCACTGAGCGCGTAACTCAGGCGAATAAATGAATTTGTGGCTTATGACTTTACTATCATTGTAGATGTGGATTATGATTTTGCTGAGGAGGAAAACTATTTTTTGTATCTGTGTTTCTTAATATAACTAGATAATTGTTGCGAACCATCTATTTATCCGAATATACGTTATCCTTACACTGAGAGTCACTATTTTAGAAGAGACTGCAAATAACTAATACGTGTCACGCATTTGGATCCATATCTGCCACGAAAAGAGCTTTTACATTGATAAGGAGTGCTTCAAGTCTAACAGCGAACACGTAAATCATATTTTTTTAAAACAAGCCATACTTTAGTTATCCTTGAAGTACAATTTTCCAAATAAAGCACCAATGAGGAGTATTTTTGAAAATTACTTTATCTTACGAAAATTTGTTATAATATATAAATAAATAAAGTATGTTTGACTTGGGTACCGTATTGCCCCATGCCTTTGAAAATCACAATCTGCGCTATAAGATGCTTTTATTCCTTTAAAGATATATGCATCTAAATAATGATGCATTCCGCGCCAGCGAGTGCAAAATAAACGTTGATAACGTTATCAAAATGGTAAGTGAAGCTACTTTTTAAATCCACTATTGCTATTTTTTTCTTAACGTATAGAATCATAAACAAGAGTGAAGATTTCATAGTAAGGTACACTTCATGTAGGTGGTGGAGAGTAGTAGATCTCAATATTTGATGACGATATACGATAATAGAAACATAATTTCAATACGCGTGACCCAGGCGACGCAACAAATATAGATATGTATACAGAAACAAATCTCTGGATCGCAAGTTTGTCAGATGTGTGGGGATCATGAATTACCGAGTTGATCCATCATTATTTTGTTACAAATGTTTGTAGTCAACTCTTTGTCAGAGCGGCCGAATATGGACTGACTACAGGGTTGCCTGGAAAGTGCATGGTTAACCTGCTTGACGCCATTTTTTCTGTAGACGAAAGAATTATAGTAAAGAGCTATTGTGGTAGTAAAGAGTTACACCAGATGAAACAGATTCTGTGCTATGTACTAGGAGAACTATCTACTGCCTATTTTTGCTTACAAAACAAGTCTTATTCACCCGAAACTCTCAGAAAGGTTTGTATTTTCCCTCATTTTTCTCGGTCTACAGTACAAACGACTTCATGGATTTTGACACGTGAGCAGGTGCTCTTAGCAGCACTGGGTGTATCAAAATTTTGTACAATAAAAATGACGGATTTCAAACGTAAGCTTTTGACATGCGAGATTCCTTAAATTCATATTGATAGCACAATTACTTTTTCCAGTATTCGCAGTCCAGTTTTTTGTATTATTCAAAATTGTATTTGTTTCCAGAACGTTTCCAGATGGGCCATTCCTCTCCTGCTATTGTGTGTCCTGGTAACGGAAGTTGCTCTGGAGACTGAGGCAACAAATAGGTTGTCTATCAGCGACATCAACCAAGCAAAATCTGAGATCGATCCAGTGGATGCTAAGGAGCAAACAACAGCAAATAATTCAGACAGCCTGAAGCAGGACCGTAATCATTGTCCACCAGAAGAATGTGCGAGAAGCTTGGTAAGGGTACCTGACAGAAGGCTGCAACGGTGGTGAAGATGAGATAAAAATGACTATGGTAAAAAAAATATATATAGATGGAACATTTGAAGAACAAAGGCACTCTACTATCTTTTACTATCAGATTATTGTAACAATACACATAATTTCTATTAAAGTTGTCAGCTTTTCTATTTCCCAAGAAATTAGTGACCACCAGACGGAAACCATTCCTAGCAGTTTTTTCAATACCTGTTAAAGTGTTTTCAAACTGTGTATCTTTCAAAATATTTCGAATCTGTGGCCCAACAAAAATACCTTTTTTAACCTTTGCATCACTTAGTCTTGGAAATTTCTGACGCAGCTATTGAAAAGCTGACCCATCTCTATCTAATGCCTTGACAAAGTTTTTCATTAGGCCCAACTTGATATGCAGTGGTGGTAATAAATTTTTTTTCGAATCTACTGATGGCATATGCTGTACATTTTTTTGACCTGGCTCTAGGAATTGACGAACAGGCCAGTTTTGTCTGGTGTAATGAAGCGCCTTTGCCCGACTGTCCCATTCACACAAAAAACAGCAAAACTTTGTGTAGCCCAGCTGCAGCCCAAGTAAAAGTGCAACAACTTTCAAATCGCCACAAATATTCCATTGGTGCTCATCGTATTTTATGCATGTCAATAGGTACTTCATATTGTCATATGATTCTTTCATGTGAACTGCATACCCTACAGGAAGAGATGGTAAAATATTTCCAATATGCAATAACACTGCATTTAAACTCAATGTTGAACTGTCTATAAACAATCTCCATTCTTCTGTGTTATAGTTTATATTTAAAGCCGCCAGTAAGCCGTTAATGTTACTGCAGAAAACCAAGTTATTCTCCATATTGAAAAATGGTTCTAAGTCTTTGTGGCGTTTACGAAAAACACATACCGAAACATCGTCTTCTAACAAGTTCCACTGCTGCAGTCTTGATCCAAGTAACTCTGCCTTACATTTTGGAAGTTCTAAATCTCTTACAAGATCATTTAATTCTGACCGTGTTATTTTGTGCGGTTGGTGGCATCACGTGCTTTGTATAAAATCAGGATCTCTTGACGTTGATGGCATATCTTCTTCCTGACGAATCACTCGATCACCATGATCTGATTCGTTTTCTGATTCGCAAGTGTAGGATTCTGGGAGTTTTGGAATAGGATTTTCGTCACTGTGAGGCACAGGTCTCATCGCAGATGGTATGTTTGGGTAGTTAATAAGCGATTTTTTTTTCTTGGACATACCTGTGGCTTGTCCAACACAAGGTACCATGCAAAAGTAACAATCATTAATATAATTTGTAGGCTCTCTCCAAACCATTGGGACAGCAAAGCGCATAGACCGTTTAACCAGCTGCTCAGACTTGAAGCACATGTATTACAGCAGATGTGGGGTGCCCACTGTTTGTCTTGATCACCTAGTTTACAACCGAAATAAAGCTGATATGCCTTTGTTATTAGTGGAGTAATAGACCGTCTCCGAGACGCAAAAGTCACATCACCACACACGTAACAAAACTGATCTGGATTGTTTACATACTTTCGAGACATCTTGCATGAACGCTGTCAGCCAACTGAGGAAAAAATGGCTAATATAAAACAATATAATGTACACGTATGTATAACGTAACACAGTCATGCCGATTATCATCTTTCCTTGCCGAATATAAAAATGTAGCACGTGCATTCTTGTGAATTATAGTATATTAACACTGTCACAGCAGGAACACATATAATTACCGTATCTCTAAAACTTGAACTAATATTGAAAAAATAAGTTTGGTTCCGCTTTTAGCACATTAAAAATAGTACTATTTTGTTGATTTTATTTAGGATATTTTTTGGCTGTTGATCAGTGTGATATCTGTTCCGATTCCGGTGGTTTCGATTCCGGCGATTTTGACGCTGGTGGTTTCGATTCCAACAGGGTTGAATCGCATTTGCCAATCTCTTTGAAAGAAGCGATACTGTGGCAATAAGAATAGTACTTACAGCTCCTCCAAATGAGGATCAATCTAAATGATGACTTGGTTTGGAGTAATAATTAAGGATTGCAATGTAGACAACTGTTGAATTTTAGCCTAGTAGCGATTTAATGTTTTCGATATTATATTTTTGTATACTGGGGCCGTTCAAGTATTACGTAAGCACTATGGGGGGGCGGGGGTGGGGGTCTTTGCTTTTCTTGTTTTGGATGACATGGGGGGTAGAGGAGTCCAGATGATGATTACGTCATCGGTAGTTATTTACTTATTTACACGAATGGCAACCATCACATTGTCTTTGCTTGAAAACGAAACGCATTTTCCGGGATTCCCGCAAATAATGCATACGTTTACTGAACAGCGCGCGGTAATTCCCCTACTCGCTTTAGAACCGAGTAGGGGAATTACCGCGCGCTGTTCACCTGTCCAAATTTCCTCTATCAGTGTATTGTTTCGTTTGGATACTATAGGGAGTAGACGTATTGTAAGCATAGTAAAGCAAGTTAACATTTGTGTTACCATTGATTCCATTAGCCAAAGTTTAATGTTTAAATAAGATGTCGTTTCACATAGACAAATCCAAGTTATACCAAAAATTGTTTGAAAGTTTTAAAAAATCTCATACAAGTACGAAAGTACAAAATGTACAAAAGTTAGTTAACGAAGTGTGGCGAAATTACAAACTACAAGCAAAATCCGACAAGGAACTAGATATTATTGTATCTAAGAGAATCGAAGAAGAATTGCAGGCGGCGACTAAGAATAAATCCAATGTACTAATTTTTTTTCTAAGGTGAGTGACGAAATCATTTTAGGTACCTATGAGTAAAAGAAATATTAAAAATCGTCAAAAAGTTTCTCTTTACTGATTAGAAAATATTATGGCCTATCTCAAAGTATAGAGGTAATATTCATTATATTATAGGTTTATTTCCTATGATTGATTCCGTCAATTGGTCACAAAGTACAGGATGTTAGTTTTATACATATATACAGAAAACTAACAACCTGTATTTTATGACCGGAACGAATTGCTCGTTTAAACATATTAGACTTAAAGCCATAGGGTTTTGTATTTACCATATACGAGTATATTGCCATATTTTGTATTTATGTAGCTTAATAATAGAATCATTAGCAGAAGCCATAGAAAGTTTTTATTTCTAGGCAATATGTAAACCTGCAGAAAAACACAAATTATACAGTCAGCTTCAAATATTAAAAAAGAGGAAGAAGATAAAATAAAACCCGGTAATGAATCACAACAGCAATGCGAAATTAATGAAAATACAGATAAACAGAGAGCAAAACGTTCTCAGGAAGCTATGAAAAATAAGATTGCTCTACTCGAAAAAATCTTAATGCTTTGTATTCTGCCAAGCCGTGCTGAAGTTGACAAACAGATCATTAAGTTGTGTCTTTTAACAGTAAGGTTCAAAACGCAGTTGCCCAGAAGAAACACAGGGATGGTATGAAAAGAAAGTTAGAAGATATTTCTCATGAAAATCCAGAAATAAAAAAAAGACTATCTCTGAGGGATTCAGTGGGACGTCCTAATCATGAAAGCAATCAACATTCACTATTGAAGACAATCGCGGATATAGCTCTATTTGGGAGTGCAGCAGATGATAGAAGACGAACGGAATCAATTCGCAGCGTAAAAACTCTTGATGAACTAACACAAGAATTACGTAAAATAGGACTTGACATTAGTCGCAGTGGGACATATCTTTGTGTGATTCCCAGAAAATCTAATTCTGCAGAGGGACGAAGACATGTATCGACAGTCCCTGTTAAGCTCATTCGGGCTCAAACTGATCACCACAGGAGCCACTTTGATAGCAAGTTCGCTGAAACATCAATCCACTATTTAGAGAACATAGCGTCCATACTTGGACCAGATCAAGTATTTTTCATATCTCAAGATGATAAAGCTCGAGTCTCTATTGGTGTAACTGCGGCAAATAAGCACGCACCTCTTCTAATGCACATGGAATATAGAATCAAATTGCCTGATCACGATTGGGTAATCGCTAAGCGTCATAAATTAATATCATCTGTTTATGCTGGTATCAAAATCACTTCCAACGTGCTAGGACAACCGCAAGCCGTTGGATATTCTGGACCAACATACATCGCTATTCGAAGTGGAAAGCATAGTTCATCTACTGCTAATACCCATGCACAGGATTTCGAGACGCTTCTCGAACTTGAAGAGTTTCGACCATTAGCTAAAACTGACCATGGACTAGTAAAACCAGTGGTAATCATAACGGTTGATGGAGGGCCAGATGAAAATCCACGTTATCCAAAAGTCATAGGGTTTGCTATACAGCACTTTAAGCGACATGATCTCGATGCATTGTTTTTAGCTACCAATGCTCCTGGAAGAAGTGCGTATAACAGAGTAGAGCGCAGAATGGCTCCTCTTAGTCGGGAACTGGCTGGTTTAATATTGCCTCATGACCATTTTGGGTCTCATTTGGATGAAGGTGGCGTTACAATTGATGTTGGGTGAACAAGATCTTCCTGATTTTTCAGACATTAAATGGTATTCAGAACATGTGCATGAGTGCCAATACTTGCTTCAAATTGTAAAATGTAGAAATTCAGAATGCTGTCGTCCAAGAAGTGGCCTATTTAGATTACTAGGCAATAGGTTTCTTCCACCACCTGTAAAAGTAAAAAAACAGTTGATGACTCGGTTTTGGATGAAAGAGGGCAATTTCTTAATCTTCCGGTCAATTTAGCTCTACACTTAAGTGCTTCACTCAAAGATTTCCTGCAAATGCCCTACGATCATTTTTGTCCGACGATAAAATTGAGGCTATCAAGTCGAACATGGATTACGTGTGGTCTTTATCATGCTTCCGTCAAGTCACTAAATCGTCACATGGAAAATATCCATAAAAAAGTAAACACGCACACTGATAGACCTGTAAGAGTCGCTGCTCGTCGTGCTAATGAACTGATGTGCATTATTCAAAATTTAGAGCACCATGATGTTGAATGGCTCGATGAGAACGACGTAGACATTCCAAAATGCGATGAGTGCGAGCAAGCTCACAAAACTTAGAATCATGGATTCGGGTTTCATGGACTGAAGACTTAATTTGAATGTAATATATGTACCAAAAATTTAAAATAAGTT